TTCCGAAAATAAGGGGTACCTTTTTTGGGAGTCCTTATAATAAGGATCCTACTATTTGGGGGTTTCCGAAAATAGGGGACCCTAATATAGCACCCTAAATAGTAGGATCCTTATTATAAGGACTTTAAAATAAGGTACCCCCTATTTTCGGAAACCCCCATTTAGGGTACTATATTAGGGTCCCCTATTTTCGGACACCCTCAAATGCCATGCTGCGGAAGGCTAGAGATGCAGACGCTGGCGGTCCCAACTCTCGAGGACCATGGCATCCCATGCTCTGTGCTTTCATCCCCTTCGTTCCCTAAACCCTAAACCCTAAACCCTAAACCCTAAACCCTAAACCCTAAACCCTAAGCCCTAAACCCTAAACCCTAAACCCTAAACCCTAAACCCTAAACCCTAACCCCTATAGACCCTAAACCCTAAACCGCAAATCCGCCACATAACCTAAGTCCACCCAAAGCCGATATTGTCTTCTGCTCTCACTCTCGCCCTCCTGGGAGCACGGCCCCTTCGCGCCGCAGGCGAACTCCATGCGCGGCGACCTCGGTAGAGGTTCACAGTCTGGGTTTCTAGAGTTTAGGGTACAACAGGGGCTGGAGTATGCTTAGAGTAGGGGTTTGAGGTGCATGCTACGACGACTGCCGGGGTCATGACTCTGGATCCATCAGTCGGATCCCACGGCCGTGTCTTTTTATTTCATGGCACATCGTAAAAACTTTTTTTAGTTTGGTTCTGTTCCTACTACAGCGAGTCATCAATCACAAAACCCGAAATCCTAAACCCTGAAACCTCAAACCAGAATCCTAAGCCGTAAAACCCAAGACCTACAGTAAACTCCAAACCGTACTATAGAGGCCTTAACACTTACCTATACCATTGGGCGGGGGGTTCCTCCTTACAATTCCAGTGCAAAGAACCCAAAACCCTATTCTACAGGCCCCTGCACTAGCCCTAAACCCTAAACCCCAAACCCCAAACCCCAAACCCCAAACCCCAAACCCCAAACCCCAAACCCTAAACCCTAAACCCTAAACCCTAAACCCTGTTACCCTAAACCCTAAACCTTGAATGAACCCTAAACCCTAAACCCTCAACCGAGTGCACCCCCATGGGGAGTGCCCGGGCGCATTGCACTTAAAAAAAACCTAAACCGTGAACCCTAAGCTCGATCTCCTGGGATGCTAGGCCAGACCAGCTTCCTGAGCAGCGACAGCAGCGACGCGAAGTTGGGAACCCGAGAGTAACGGTTTAGGGTTTTAGGGTTTTCGGGTTTTAGGGTTTTAGGTTTTAGGGTTTGGGGTTTAGGGAATATAGAAGCCTAAATATTTACCAAGATTATTCCTTAGGGTTCCTTATTCTAATTTTTTGGGGGTTTGGGTTTGATATGCAAGCCTAGATAAGTACCGGTATTTTTCCTTAGGGTTCCTTAGCATGGTTATACCATAAGGAGCCCTAGGCACCCTTCGAAATATTAAGGTCCCTACATGATAAAACCTGAACTGTACACCGCGACACAAAACAGACAACCGCTGGACCCTAAAGTGGGATGTGGGTAGTTTGCTAAATTAGGGTCCCGCTTTCCGTCCCCAGTATAGTACGGCACCCTATAAAAAGGACCCCAAAAGGGACCCTCTTTTGGAGAACTACCAATGTGAGGGGCCCGTCCCGCAGTCCCTTCGGCACGATTCAGAATCGAAGGGTTTGGGTCAAAGAGTTCCTATAGGATCCTACAGGGGATGAACGTCTCTGGTAGGTTCTTATGCCCTTCGTGGTCCAGCTTTCTCCGCCGTCCCTGCGAGCGAAGAATCCTAGAAACTTACTTGTGGTCCCTTTTACGGTCCTTTTATAAGGGTGCCGTACTATATTGATGACCTAAAACGGGGCCCTAATTGCGAGAACTACCCATGTCCAGTTACCAAAATCTGCGGCAGAACAGGTTCGGTTTTGGGCTTGCGGATCTGAGCCTATGCTGGCGGATTCGAGCCTAGACTTTAAGGTTCTTGAACCGTGACGGCTTATGCATGAAAACTAGGCTGAGCCTCAGAATATCGTCAGGCAGCCCAGAACCCTCGAGGCAAGTCGTTCAGAGGTTTCGCGAACAAGTAGCAGATCACCAGACAAACTAGTGCAAACATGAAGCCCGCCCACTACAACCAGAACCATTAGCAGTACAACAGTGTTCTCCGAACCTCGATGCAAGATCATTTGTTCTTATGTTGCCATTGCCATTACGGTCACTGTATTCGAGCTGCTGCATGGCAGGAAACCACGTCAGTACCCTCACCTCCAACCCCGGAAACTCAAAGATCTCGGAACGCAGGTTCAGGGTTTAGAGGTTTAGGCTGCAGGCATTTTCAGGTCTCGGAGTTCGGGTGAAGGGATTTGGGGTGCAGGCTTTACGGTTTGGGGTTTAGGGCTCAGACCCCAAATGGTCAATCCGCAAACCGGAAGTCAAAACCCTAAGTCATCCTAAATCCGCACTATGGAAGTCCTACAAACCACGATCCTAAACTGAGCACAACTCTGAAGCTAGGGTTAGGGGCACCTTAGCCAAACAAGCAAAAGAGGAGCGCGCAAAAAAAAGAGAGACAAACACGCACACGCACGGTTAACTTCTACAAACCCCCCTCAGCCCCAAACCCGCCCAACCCCCTCGCCTTTCATGGAAAAAATTTTGGGGCAGCGCGCCCAGGCAAAAGGCGGCAGTGGATCCGACGAGGAGACTGGTGCCTACAGGGTTCAGGCTTAAGGGTTTTGGATTTAGGGCCGGAGCATCGGCCAACACAGAGTTACTCTGAACGGGACGGAAGATTTTGTTTGCGACGACGACAGCCGCACTTGCGACGTTTAGGGTTTAGGGTTTGGGGTTTAGGGTTTAGGGTTTAGGCTTCTCTTCCAACTGCTTCGACGTCAACTCTGCCTGCTTCCGCAAGCATTTACAGCAATGTTACCCAAGAGTTGTCGTGCTGCTGATGTCCTGTCACTTTGCACCTGCACCTACGCATCGCAGCATTCATGCACGGCCTGTTGCGCAGGGCGGGTGTTTGGAAAGAGTGAAGGAATCAACCTGAATCGGGGGCACTTTTGACACGCAAACTACAAGCATCCGCCATGAAGCAGCAAGCACATGCAGCACGCGCTGTAAAGGCAGTTGTGCGTTTCGCACTGAGACAAACAACCTGTCGGGTCAATCTACATCGTTCTACAATCCACGACAACTTGTGTGCTATCCCTAAGGGTCCAAGTACCTAATAATCATAGACTCTCCTAAACAGTAGCCTACATAACTTCTATCCGAAACCCTAAGCCCTAAACCCTAAACCCTAAACCCTAAACCCTAGACCCTAAACTACCCTAAACCCTGAACCCTAAACCCCATCAGCCAGAGGTCAAAGGTGGTCGAGTGGGGGCCGGAGTCGGTCTACATCCTGGGTATGGCTATCACCCCCGATCAGTAATCCTCGAAGCCCTACCCTAAACCCTAAACCCCTAAACCCCCCCTAAACCCTAAACCCTAAACCCTAAACCCCTAAACCCTAAACCTGCTGAAGCGGA